AGTATACCCATAGAGAGAGGTAGACTTTGTAGGATACCCATAGAGAGAGGTAGACTTAGAAGTATACCCATACAGAGAGGTAGACTTAGTAGTATACCTATAGAGAGAGGTGAACTTAGCAGTATACCATAGAGAGAGGCGGACTTAGGATCATACCCCTAGAGAGAGGGCGACTTAGTAGTATACCAATAGAGAGAGGCGAACTCAGTAGTATACCCATAGAGAGAGGTGAAGTTAATAGTATAACCATAGAGAGAGGTAGACTTAGTAGTATACCCATAGAGAGAGGTGAACTTAATAGTATAACCATAGAGAGAGGTAGACTTAGTAGTATACCTATAGAGAGAGGTGAACTTAGAAGTATACCATAGAGAGAGGCGGACTTAGTAGGATACCAATAGAGAGAGGCGGACTTAGTAGTATACCATAGAGAGAGGTGAACTTAGTAGTATAACCATAGAGAGAGGTAGACTTAGTAGTATACCCATTTAAGAAAAGATGAAATAAACAAATACAACGAAAACCATGTCAAATTTAAACTACAAAGTATCAATAACGAAAAACACACTGTAGAAGACAACTTGAAGCCGGAAATGTAATTTTCTCCGAACTGTCATTAAGATCATATTTTTTGATGAGAAACTAAACTTTTGTGTTATTATAGCAATTACATGCATACAATTGCATTCGATTGAATCTAATCGCAAATATAATTGGTATAACCCGCAAATAACTTTCGCCGCAAGCTAAAAGCAACTTCTCTCTTAGAAATCTAAATATTCCACCGCGGAGCCACGAGCGCCGCTGGTATATTCTAAAGCTATGTAGAGGACCGTCTAATTACCGGCTGTTACTCGGAAAACGTAGTCCGGCTATTTCTGTTAAGTCTTTGTCAACTGCGACGTAAAATAATTGATTCCCCAGCAAACATCTAGTCGTTCGTTTGCCCAAATTACCTAAATCAGAAAATTGGGAAGAACGTACTTAAAATAACAATGATTGCGAAATCAAAACATCGATTCCGTTTTCTTCCGATTTCGTGTTCGTCTCGTTATGTTATGTAATTACAGACACACAAGCACTCGGTCGCGGTCGATCATGGAAAAGTACTTGCATAACACCATCCTCATTATTTCCATATTTAATCTGCAATATGTCTGAAAGAGAGTTTTGAGTAATAATTAATAGAACATCATTAAGTTTGCATAGTTATGGCGCCAAACACAAGCAATCGTTCTTTAGATTTTTTAAAGTGTCATTTATCGAATAGACGATGAATTTTGTCACAGGACTATATGCGTACATTTACTTCGTTTTCCGTTAATCAAATGTCCAACATTTTAAATAGTTGTCTTTTGAAGTAAATGATTTTTGATAAACTCCTTTCAAAATAATCATTTGCTGATAGAGAAGATGTAGAACAGCCTGGTAAAAAGCTTGATCATCTATATACTACTTTATACCACCTACCGGTCGCTTGATACATTCATTATCATTGGTTGTCAGTATGAGAAGAAGTTGAGCACGACTTGAGAAGAACTTGAGAACGGATTTTCCCATTCCCCAGCACTTTGGAACGTATTTTCTAAAAAAAACAAAGTCTGCTCACACCAGATGACGCCCGAAACCGGAAATAGTGTCCACACAAAAGTGATCCGCGTAAGAAAATAGTCCGTCATAAGCATATCAATACAAAGTTACAGGAAAATATTGTGAGAATCAAAACACCATTTGGGTGTAAATGTGCATATGGAAAAGCCAATGACGATAGAATTATTTTTAAAATATTTTTTTCTACGTAGTTTTAAGGTTCGTTGTATTCCTCCGCGCAAAACTTGTATGTGTTTACGTTTGTCACAGGCGATCGTTGACCATTGAGCTTAGAAATCATTTGGAAAACATGATGTTTAGTTGAGTTTTTTAAATGGAGAAATATATAAGGTAGTAGTATATAGATGATAAATAGTGTATCATACAGTATTTTCAGTGTTTGTCGTTCGAACAATGTTCTCATCGCTCGCACGTAGATAAAATGTCGATTTATCCACGTGCCCGCGATGAGAAAATTGTTCTCACGACGAACCCTGAAAATACAGTTTGATAATCTATAAAGATGCGTAGTCTACAGCCGTCTTTATCTGTTGTCCCAAATTGTTTGATTTTGAACGAAAGATCCAATACATTTTAACCCCACTCCATCCCTTCCCCACCACAACCAATTCTTTCCAGTTTAATCACCGACTCTTTTCACAAATTTTCCGCCATTTTAAATTTTGATTGAATATCAGCACATTCTATATAAACATTATAAAGGGACTTTCAAAAGAAGAACTTCAAGAGTCTTTCTCGTTTAAAGACATCCGGGTGTCGCTATAATGATATAACATTGTAGGACATCTATGTACTCAGTAACCTGGTCAAAAGGATTTCACTTGTTGATGAAACAATGAGCAAAGGCTTACGGAAACCGCTATAGTGGTCCGCTGTCAATTTTTATTAAAAGAAACAACAAGGGTAAGACGAGGGAGCGGTTAAACAAAAAAGAATTTCTTAAAACGTAAGAAAATCGATTTTTTTGCTACTGGAATATTTAAGATCATGTTGCATTTAAGAATTTTTAAATACCCCCACTCCAAACTCTCTGTCGTGTGTTGGATCCGATACATAGTCGTAGATAAATCAGTTTTTATCAAAATTAATTAAGGAAAAATAAAGTTTAAAACCTGAAAGGAAAATCCTGTCATCGTCACGTTGATGAGAGTGATATACTTTTTCCCCGATATATTCCCCTATACATGTAAGTTTTCTATTGCACGTGTAGGTTCGGAGAAAGAATAGACCTGCTGCTGCCCCATTGCAAAACATTGGATCCCTATCTCTCCTTTTTTCACTTCCCTACTCTCTGTTTGCGGTGATCTCCCTTAGCATCTGTCTTCAAACGGCATTTGATGTTGCGAGGACGTTTAACCCAACACAAACAAACAAATAATTGATTAGGTATAAAGGACAGAGCGCAGACTGTCGGGTAAGCCTGATTCTCTAGTATGATCCCTCAAGTACTTTGACAGGCAATTGACAGTTATTATGGTAACTTCTACTTAATGTCACAGGCTAGCATCGTCCCTCGATCTTTCTAGTTTTCTGTTATCGCAGAAGATAGTGATAAACAACGGTGTAATATGTCGCTAGGTCCCCAGTTATCGCACTAGATCTGTCCGTGACATCTAGAGCTGCGATTCTATACCACACCACACAGTGTGGCTCAGCGCCACCAGGTAAAAACTGAACATGTATACACTTCCAAATAAGGCAAACATGTTGAAACTGTAGCGCCCTGTTAAAAGCACAAGTTTACAGTAATTTTACACGATTTAGGGGTTTACATCAAGCTCTCGATGTGGACCCCACCTAACGTTCTTGCATCAACAACCACATTTAGTTGATGTTCAAAAATAAACTGAGTACCGTTGGAAAAATTGATTTTTTCTTTTTAAAAATTGCAGACATGACCTCCGTTTCCTCCAAAAACACTGACACGCCATTTCCAAGTCGCGTTATAGAGACTCTTTTTACAATGTATTCATGAGGTTGACGTCAGCGACGTGCCGAATTTTGTCGTGTTGATTGTCAGGGGGGTTTTTTTTGGGGGGGGGGGGGGGCTGCGCTTCCTGCCACTCGCACCACTCCAAATATAGCTGTAAAAAATCCTCAGGTCCCTGTTGGAGGATTAACCTCGGCCGATTCCGGTACCCTTTATCATGTAGGTACGGAATCTGCCGAGATGTGACGAGTGAGGATAACGCATGGAGCCGTGTGTATGCAAATGAGACGGATAGTTTAATCTGAAAAAGGCGGGAGTCGCTTATGACAAATGCAATAAGGGTCGCTTACGATATACTAAATAAGGTACGTAAGTTACCAGTTACGTACACAGTACATTTATGATAATATGCCACAGAAACTACTGATTTTGCACGTGGATAATGCTTTGTAAGGTACATTCCCTATAATCTTTAGTTATTTGCTGGATTCTGTTCTATATATCTTGAACTCAGCGCGCACTTAGTGACTATGATCTTCTGTCGACAAACCATGTTTGTGGAAGGTGATCGATGGCGGATTTTTCATTACTTTTCAATTGGTGTCTTTGCTAGACGACGGATACGATATTTATTTGGATAACGAGCAAAACCAATACTGCTAAAAAACCTAAATGTACACAGTCTCCGCTTTCATTACTGGCGTTCTCATAACAACCATTCCAAAATGGTCGAGAATTAATTAACAAAAGGTCGTCTTCAAATTTCAAGCCAAATGTAAACAGAGGCAACAAAAGTGTGTTTATCTGATCTCCAATCGATCGAAGAAGTTACAGCATGGACGGTTTTTTTATACTCAATAGAACCAATTTATAGAGTGACTAGGAATCCATTGTCATTGTAACAACTGTCCGTCGTTTTGTTATTCCGGATAATTATTGAAAATCAGACTGTTCAGACAGACGAGATTCAATGTTTACCACGCCGCAATTAGACGCGCACTGTGTTGTCAGAAGGTGTTGTGCTCATATGCTTTTAAACATCAAAAATTCTCGTTTGTCCAATGGATTTAGCAAGTGAAAACGTACTAAACAAATGGGCATTTGACCTATAATCTTTATAAATACCAAGGAAATAATTTGTAACAAATAAAATAATAACAAACGAAGATTATCTGGTATTTACATTGACGGTCTCAATATCCGGTCAACTTGTTCACCGTTAAAATAACGTTACGTTTCCAGAAACAAATGTCTAGGTATTTTTAAAGAATATCAAGGAGTTAAGTGTTTGAGTTTTATTTTCAATCTTTTGTGCGAACATCCATCCTCAACTGCGTCCAAAGCGGCGGGTGCCTGTTCACTCAAGTCAATTGATAAACAGAAATAATGAACCACGTCCTGCCAATAGGCGCTGGGTCTGCACTATACGTATTGCATTGTTTGTATTTCCTTTTTCCAGTTTCATCTGTCATTGTCTCTCGTCCTCGTCGTAGAAATTGTGGCGGGAACTCTCATCATCGTCTTCTACTCAGACCCAACAGCGCGGGAAAATCTACGTCATGCGCCGGAGAAAGTTTTAAAGAAAGCCATCGTTCGATACAAAGATGACGATTACTACAAAGTATGGATGGACAACGTTCAAAAACAGGTTAATTTCAATTATCTTATCTGGAATTATAAATTGTCCTCTATTGTATCAATACATGTACAATGTGTAAGATTCATGTATAAATACCACACTTTTTTTCACGATCTTAAAGTGTTTTAAATCGTTTGCATGTAATTTACATTTTTCATAATGTTGACCTCCAAATGTTGTTGTTGTGGAATAGACCTTCACATGTTATAGACCTTCACATACTGTTGACCTTCACATGTTAAAGACCTTCACATGTTGTCGTCCTTCACATTTTGTTGACCTCAACATGTTGTTGACCTCGACATGTTGTTAACCTTCATCAATTGTTGACGTAAACATGTTGTCTATCATTTGTTTACTCTCATTTGTTATTAATCTCACATGTTTTTAACAGGTTTAAAAAAAACGTGTTAACCGTCAAGTGGTATTGACCTTGCTTGTTATTGGCCTCCACGCGTGTTTTGACATGAACGGACTGTTTACTTTTACATGTTGTTGACCTCCATGTATCGTTGACCTTCACGTATTGTTGACCTCCGTGTATTGTTGACCTCCACGTATTGTTGACCTTCGCGTATTGTTAACTTTCACGTATTGTTGACCTCCGCGTATTGTTGACCTTCACCTATTTTTGACCTCTGCGTATTGCTGACCTTCACGTATTGTTGACCTTCATGTATTGTTGACCTTTCACGTATTGTTGAACTTTATGTATTGTTGACCTTCACGTTCACGTATTGTTGACCTCCGCGTGTTGTTAACCTTCATGTGTTGTTGATCTTCACGTATTGTCGACCTTCACATATTGCTGACCTTCACGTATTGTTGACCTCCGCGTGTTATTGACCTTCACGTATTGTTGAACTTTATGTATTGTTAACCTTCACGTTCATGTATTGTTGACCTCCGCGTGTTGTTAACCTTCATGTATTGTTGACCTTCGCGTATGTTGACCTTCGCGTATTGATGAACTCTGCGTATTGTTGAACTTCTCGTATTGTTGACCTCCGCGTATTGCTGACCCTCACGTATTGTTGACACTCGCGTATTGTTGACCTTCACAACCTGTTAAAATTCAGATTTGTTGACCGTTAGTTGTTGTTAACCATCACACGTGTTGGGCTCCACATGTGATGTTGATCTTAATTTTAGAATAAATCATTCAACAGACCATATAAGGACTTCCGCTTTAAAAAAATGATGTCAGTTTGACAATAGATATGGCAGACGAAGAGTCGTGAACAGTTCCTGTGCAGATCTAGACATTTGTTTTAGAGGGTACTCGAAGGAGCTGTAAATATCTCTCCATACTTCTTCCCACTCAATTTCCCTTTGGCTGCCCGATCTTGATACGCCGCTGTGTAGGCCCCAGTTCACGCGGTTAACGAGTGTTCTTTTAAAGAATATTCGTAGCAGAACAATATTTTGATAGTTTCTCACTTTGAAACGTGTTAAATTTGCCCATATATTACGAACTGTTATGAATAATGACCAGCTACATTAGGTTAGATGTCACATACGATACATCAATGTTTTCTTGGACGGCTTCCTCCTACGGGCTTTGACGGAAGTCACGTCAAACCAATCCAGAAATACTTCGTTATACATTCGCATAGCAACTTCTCACCATTTGAGATCCAAATTAATCGATATATTTGTTTCGCTAGAATGGAGATTTGGGAGAATAGTCATAACTAAATAAGTAAAAATGATTGATTTTTCGTGGACGTAATTCGAAATGAATGATCAATCGTTTCGTTTGTGGGTCCGGATACCGCACAGTCTGATGCAGGAGTACAGATGTATGTATGGTATTGTTGACATAAAGTACACACGCAGTCTGGACGTGTCGACATCATACCAGACATGAAATAACAAGTTTGTGTCAGCGAACACACACATCAATAAAGAATGAGCGGTGAGTGTCTAAATTTATAAACTTATCTTCCGGTTTGACGCCATTCAGTACTGCAAAGTTGCTAGTCGAAATATGATTAACATAAAGTATTTCATATACATACATAATGCTTGATAGATAGAGAAATGTACATACCTTTACCTATGTCACATCCCGGTTCAACCTGGGACTTCCATGTCAGCCTGAGGGGTATTAGTCCGAGGGTTGGTACAGGTCCGATATGGGAAAAGAGTGTATCATTCTCTATACATCATCTATCAAGGTCATTATCATGTGTATGAAAACTACAATATCAATACAAATGCGTAATACCTTGTTTATAAACATTATAACTTGTTTAATTAAAATACGTGTTCAGATCTATAATTCCTTGTTCAGATAATAAGGTACATTGTTTAACAACATGATGAAAAAGGATACAAATAGAAAAATACTTAATATAAATACGAATTACCATACAAATACATCTACTGTATACAAATACGTATACAATTTGAAAAGGAGATTCTCAACATTTATTTAAGGATTGAAACCCGGTTGCTTACAAACATTTCAATGATGCTCGGGAAACGTATTTTGAATAATACGCTTGTAAGCACCTACGTATAACTCGGAGGTGGGTTGGGTTCCGTCTTGTTCCCATTCCATTGTTCCATGCTATTTACCAATTATTGTCACCGACGACCAACGGTTTTTTGGTTGGATTTGACTCAATTTTGTGCGGTTATCGTTTCCAGCCCAAACGTATATCGGAAATAGTTTCGGATTTCCTATCAAATTTTCCGACTTGACGGAACGACATAATTGCACCCTAAAAGTATGATGGAAAGACCGGAATAATATCCGTCTGGAAAACATTAACATGTCTGAGATCTGAGTAGCATGCAACCCTCACAACATTTTAGTTGATATGTTTATCCAGAGCGCTTGCAACGGAAATGTAAATAAAATACTGTGCGGTAATACGGTAAAGTTGGAAATTTTCGCGTGTGGAAATGTTCGCGTTGTGACCCTGTAAACGCGATTACGACGTGGGAATTTTCCTATGGCAATAGCTATGTTATCGATATAATTTATAACGGAATATTCGCGTGTGGACATTTTCGCGCTAGTTTACTCAACGCGAAAAACCGCGAACATTTCCACACCGTGAAAACTTCCTCTTTTACAGTACTTAAAACAGCGTTTAGTCTATTCACGTGAAATGGAAATTTGGTCAAGATATACATTACACTATATCAGCTGTCCGATAGACTTGTGTGATAATTTACATTTTATTTTGTCATTATAGATTCCCTATCACCATGTACACTATACTTGTAAATGATAATATATCGTATTCATAGGACTGTCTTATGTAAAATCTTTGATTTTAAATACAGAAATTATATTATCCGCCAATTATTGAAATGTAGAAGATGGATGATTCAAAAGCATTGTTAAAAATACGAAAGAATGAGCAAACTTAGCCAAATACATCAACTTGCTAATGCGATAATTTTAACCAGAGTAAAACCTCCATACACTGCCATCGTTTCTGCAGAGAAGTTTTGGTGTAATACACTTTAAAAATGTTTGGCGATAAAATGAGGAAAAATAAAAATGGAATCTAAAGAAAAAAGGGGAAAGTGACGTTGAAATAAGTTGGCCGTAAGGGAGGTGGCAAACGAACGAGGGGCATTATATCGAGGTTTTGCTTTAGTGGCTCTCTCCAAACACGTCATATTGCCTGTAATTGTGTGGTGTAGTATTGTGTTTTGTATTGCTTTGTATGACGCAATGCTACTTGTATAACACAAGGGAAGAACTTGATCACGTGACTCGCATAATACGTCTCTCCTGAAGGGTATATCTCTGAGTGCCCCAGCCCCAGTAAGCCTTGCTTATTAAAACCTTAATGTGATAAAGTTGAGAAGTCATATGAAGTCGAAATCAAAATATTAAAATCATGATCAAAACACAAAAGTGGCATCATGCGTTATGTATAACAATGAAATTTGCATGACATAATAAAATTTGACACGACATTTTGAAAACTATAATATCTGTTATCAGAACTTGATTTCAAAAGTAGAAAGATAGCATTATGATATATTTACATTTTCTGTGTACAGTCATTAGTTAAACATACATACAAAAAGCATATCCAATATGAGCAACACATGCTGCACGTTGATATTTTCCAATCTGAAGCTGTTCGGGGCTTTCCGTCAAATTATTTGCGTAATCTGGGACCAATGCATGACGTGACGTCAACTTCAAATTGTGACGGATATTCCCACGATATTGTTCCCTTATAAATGGCTGTTCCACCACTCGGTAAAACAGTTTGTTTAAAATGTAATTTTGAACCAAATAAGACTACAAATAACAAAAAATATACTTTATTTGCTGTTCTGAATGTTAAGGACAGAATCGAAATGCATCTTCCAAACATTTATGATGGTATGAAACGCAGTTCCGTTCAAACACTGTGCATCATGGCATATGTTTTAACGGAACCTTGTTTCATGCTATCATACTTGTAAATATTAAAAAAGATGTGTTCCAATCCTTAAATATTGAGAATGGGTTATACCGGGTGAAGATATTCAGATCATTACACATAGAACACTGAGGAGTATACTGACGATTGAGCCTGGACTGAAGACCTATATATGATTACATATAGAACACTGAGGATTGTACTGATGATTGAGCCTGGACTGAAGACCTATATATGATTACATAGAAACCTAAGGATTGTACTGACGATGGTATCTAGGCTGAAGACCTATGGATGATAACATGGTATCCCTGACGACATTACGAGACCATTTTTCTCTTAACAACCTGAAATGCTGTTACAATAATGCATTTCCTACAAGATCTAGCATCACAACCAAACGCCTACATCGGTAATTCAGTGTTGACTGACGAGGTTACCCCAGTCGACGTTAAGGACTAAAGTTTGTCATTGTTGAAATTATTTTCCGGTATTATTCCCAACCAGAAAGAATGATGATGATTATCTATTAAACATTCTTCACAAGACAAGACCCAATTCCAGTACGTCACACACCGCCATCTCAAGAAATACTTGCATACACATTTTGGCAATCATAAAAGACAAAGTATAAGAAGAATTTCCGGGAAAATGTGACGAGGTTGAACAAAGGGCCTCAACTCTGTATACAGCTGGCACAAAACTCTACTTTAGAACATGACTCTCTGTCATCTTAGGAGACAATTACATACAAAAATTGCAATTGTAGGTGAAAGATTATATGGGTGTACCCCAGACAAAGTGACAGACGGACAGAATGACTGACGGACGAAGTAAAGGCCTGAAGACCCCTGTGGTTGAACCTGTTAGGGATTTATCATTATCACTTCACTTTAACACTAGCGCTCAGGTCTACTCCGATAACGTGAAATTGAGTTTGAGCTTTTTATCAAAAGAAGTTAAATAACTTCAATAAACTGATGGCATTAATGTGCGTACATATATTTCAGGATTATCCCTATGCTATACTGACTAACCTATTGTCTGTCTGGTTATTACAGTTTAAGTGTTGCGGAGTGAGTCACACAGACGAAGGCTACAAAGACTGGCAGCTCAACATTTACTTCAACTGTACCCGCCTGAACCCCAGTATAGAACGATGTGCAGTGCCATTCTCTTGTTGTATATTCTATCCTGTAAGTACTCCTCCAGTCAAGTATGTGTTAAATGTTTTATCCTGTAGGTAGTACTATCCCTCCAATCAAGTATGTAGTATATGTTTTATCTTGTGGGTAGTACTACCCCTCCAGTCCAGTATGTAGTATATGTTTAATCCTGTGGGTAGTACTACCCATCAAGTCCAGGATGCTGTATCTTTTATCCTGTAGGTAGTACTACCCCTCCAGTCCAGTATGTAGTATATATTTTATCCTGTAGTTAGTACTACCCCTCCAGTCCCGTATGTAGTATATATTTTATCCTGTAGTTATTACTGCCCCTCCAGGCCAGTATGTTGTATATGTTTTATGTTGTGGGTAGTACTATCCCTCCAATCAAGTATCTAGTATATGTTTTATCCTGTGTGTAGTGCTGCCCATCCAGTCCAGTATGTGGTATATATTTTATCCTGTAGGTAGTATTCCCCCTCCAGCCCAGTATGTAGTAAATTTTAGAATGTTGGTAGTACTAACCCTCCCGTCCAGTATGTAGTATATTTTTAATCCAGTGGGTAGTACTACCTCTCCAGTCCAGTATGAAGTATATGTTTAATCCTGTGGGTAGTACGGCCCATCAAGTCCAGGAGGCTGTATCGTTGATCCTGTAGGTAGTATTTTCACTCCAGTCCAGTATGTTGTAAATTTTAGACTGTTGGTAGTACTAACCCTCCTGTCCAGTATGTAGTATATGTTTTATCTTGTGGGTAGTACTACCCCTTCAATCTAGTATGTAGTATATGTTTTATCTTGTGGGTAGTACTTCCCCTCCAGTCAAGTATGTGTAGTATATGTTTTATCTTGTGGGTAGTACTACCCCTCCAGTCCAGTATGTAGTATATATTTTATCCTGTAGGTAGTATTTTCACTCCAGTCCAGTATGTAGTATATGTTTTATCCTGTGGTTAGTACAACCCCCCAGTCCAGTAGTTTATCTTAATAGGTATTACTACATTTGCTCATTGTAGGCTATAGTTTCTATACTTTACGTGTTTATTGGCCTGTGTGAGTTCGATTTTTTCTCTAATAAAACTGGGTTACTTAAGATGATGATCAAACTTGCTCCTTATATGCCAGTTATCTCCCTTGAGAGGTACATCTCTCCAGTTCACCTCTGCAGGTGGGGGATTGAGAAAAGAATACACCTGATGTTACCCATTGCATGATGGTAAGAGGTAACTTATGTGGGAAGGTAATTTGCGTATGTTCCTCTACTTGGGGACACAAAAGCGACCAAAATAAATCTGCTGCACCTATTGCAAAATTTGGAATATACATTTTAAATCTATCTGATTCTGACTACCTTTGATTTCCTAGCGCTTTACTTGGCAATGTCTTGAATGTTGTCTCCAGGTGTATATGGCAATGGGATCTGTTCCCATTCGAAGACATACCAACGTCCTAAAAAATGGTAGTTGTTATTGCCTGCTTAACGTTCAGCATTAATGGTAATGACAACAACTGGTTCACCCGTTGTCAGTATAATGTGACCGGGCGGGATGCTGTGCTGGATGTCTTCGGCATGGTATTTCAGTGAGATAGCACTATAAAGTCGGCATCAGATCCGCGCTCTCGCAAGTAGGCAATAACGCCAACAAACCCTGCCTCCAGCACATACACACACAGGCACACATACATAACACACATGGTGGCACGTCCTTAAATGACCTTAGCTGTTGGTAGGACTTTAAACTGCTCTATAAAACCAAAACCTCTTCAGTCTAGTTTTCCACAATATGCTCTACCCTATGACTAATTCACTGTTCATTTTGGTTTCTGTCGATCGATCATCATCAGACACCAGCACCATCTGTTAACATACGAAAAATGAAAACTACTAATAATAACATGTAAACAATGAACGAAAACATTGCTACATTCGCGTAAATCAAACTTCATCGTCTATTGCAATTGTTTATCTTGAGTTTTCCGTTCCTCGAAATGAAATCATTATCGAATTATTTCTTGTCTGTGGTATCTATTGGTTGTTTATGACGACGTCATGTTATTCCATCACTTGGCCATGTGCTTGAGCTCAGAGAGTGTCGGATCACTCGTAAACGAGTGTTTGCGCGTGCATCAGTGTCACGTGAGGTCGTAAGCAGCTAGAAACTCCGATCATCTGAGGAATGTAATCGGTGGTAGTTTGTTTTTGTGTTTATAAAGGTTCAGGATAAAGCACCGATTCAGCATGTGTTTTATGTTTGGGGTTTAGTTGTGCAATAAGTCCAGTTCTGCTTGTAGTCAGCAAGATCGTTTTGGCCTCCAACAAAAGTCGGTAAACTGTTTCATTCGTACAATAGTCGGTAATTATTTCATTCGTACAAAAGTCAGAAAACTGGTTCAGTTTGGGAAGCAAAAAAAAAACACTCCATTGTGTGACTAATCAGAATTTGTGGCGAGCCGTATGTGGTGCAGGAAATTTTACACTTCCGGACCATCTGAATTCGCTTCCAGTTTTGTGTCGGAGTTCATGTTATGATTCCTATCGTTTTGGTTTCTCCTGGGTTCCTGTTGTTGCCGTAAGTTGTTGTATGTGCTTTGAGTTTTGTCCTTGTACATTCAGATTTTTGTATATCTTGGTGCATTGGCGCTGTGGTGTTTTTGTATATCTTGGTGCATTGGCGCTGTGGTCTTTTTGTATATCTTGGTGCATTGGCGCTGTGATGTTTTTGTATATCTTGGTGCATTGGCGCTGCGGTGTTTTTGTATATCTTGGTGCATTGGCGCTGTGGTGTTTTTGTATATCTTGGTGCATTGGCGCTGTGGTCTTTTTGTATATCTTGGTGCATTGGCGCTGTGGTGTTTTTTTGTCCCTATGCATTGATGCTGTTGTGTAAACTTTCAATTGGGGTTGGTTTATTTCGCCTAAGGTTTGATGTTGACACTGTAGTATATTTTGTCTGTGTGTGTTGACGCTGTAGTATCTTTGTCCCTGTGTGGTGACACTGTAGTATATTTGTCCATGTGTGGTGACACTGTAGTATATTTGTCCCTGTGTGGTGACACTGTAGTATATTTGTCCCTGTGTGTTGACGCTGTAGTATATTTTGTCTGTGTGTGTTGACGCTGTAGTATCTTTGTCCCTGTGTGTTGATGCTGTAGTATCTTTGTCCCTGTGTGTTGACGCTGTAGTATATTTGTCCATGTGTGGTGACACTGTAGTATCTTTGTCCCTGTATGTTGACGCTGTAGTATATTTGTCCCTGTGTGTTGACGCTGTAGTATCTTTGTCCCTGTGTGTTGATGCTGTAGTATCTTTGTCCCGGTGTGTTGACGCTGTAGTATCTTTGTGCCTGTGTGTTGACGCTGTAGTATCTGTGTCCCTATGTGTTGACGCTGTAGTATGTTTGTCCCTGTATGTTAACGCTGTAGTATCTTTGTCCCTGTATGTTAACACTGTAGTATCGTTGTCCCTGTATGTTGACGCTGTAGTTTATTTGTCCCTGTGTGTTGACGCTGCAGTATCTTTGTCCCTGTGTGTTGACGCTTTAGTATCTTTGTCCCTGTGTGTTGATGCTGTAGTATCTTTGTCGCTGTGTGTTGACGCTGTAGTATATTTTGTCTCTGTGTGTTGACGCTGTAGTATATTTTGTCTCTGTGTGTTGACGCTGTAGTATATTTTGTCTGTGGGTGTTGACGCTGTAGTATCTTTGTCCCTGGGTGTTGACGCTGTAGTATCTGTGTCCCTGTGTGTTGACGCTGTAGTATGTTTGTCCCTGTATGTTAACACTGTAGTATCTTTGTCCCTGTATGTTGACGCTGTAGTATATTTGTCCCTGTGTGTTGACACTGTAGTATATTTGTCCCTGTGTGTTGATGCTGTAGTATTGTTGTCCCTGTGTGTTGACGCTGTAGTATCTTTGTTCCTGTGTCCCTGTGTGTTGACGCTGTAGTATATGTGTCCCTGTGTTTTGACGCTGTAGTATATTTGTCCGTGTGTGTTGACACTGTAGAATATTTGTCCCTGTGTGTTGACACTGTAGTATCTTTGTCCCTGTGTGTTGACGCTGTAGTATCTTTGTTCCTGTGTCCCTGTGTGTTGACGCTGTAGTATCTGTGTCCCTGTGTGTTGACACTGTAGTATTGTTGTATCTGTGTGTTGACGCTGTACTATCTTTGTCCATGTGTGTTGACACTGTAATATCTTTGTCCCGGTGTGTTGACGCTGTAGTATCTTTGTCCCTGTGTGTTGACACTGTAGTATTGTTGTATCTGTGTGTTGACGCTGTAGTATCTTTGTCCATGTGTGTTGACACTGTAATATCTTTGTCCCTGTGTGTTGACGCTGTAGTATCTTTGTCCCTGTGTGTTGACACTGTAGTATCTTTGTCCCTGTGTGTTGACACTGTAGTATCTTTGTGCCTGTGTGTTGACGCTGTAGTATCTTTGTCCCTGTGTGTCGACACTGTAGTATCTTTGTCCCTGTGTGGTGACACTGAAATATCTTTGTCCCTGTGTGTTGACGCTGTAGTATCTGTGTCCCTGTGTGGTGACACTGAAATATTTTTGTCCCTGTGTGTTGACGCTGTAGTATCTTAGTCCATGTGTGTTGACACTGTAATATCTTTGTGCCTGTGTGTTGACGCTGTAGTATATTTGTCCCTGTGTGTTGACACCGTAGAATATTTGTCCCTGCGTGTTGACGCTTTAGTTTCTCTGTCTCTGCGTGTTGACGCTTTATTCTCTTACCCTGGACAGGTTCATCCGCATTTTTACCAGTGTGAGATTTCCTTTTCTCCCACACCTGACAGATTTATCTCCCCCTGTGTGGTGACACTGTAGTATATTTGTCCCTGTGTGTTGACGCTGTAGTATTGTTGTCCCTGTGTGTTGACGCTGTAGTATCTTTGTCCCTGTGTGTTGACGCTGTAGTATCTGTGTCCCTGTGTGTTGACGCTGTAGTATCTGTGTCCCTGTGTGTTGACGCTGTAGTATATTTGTCCCTGTGTGTTGACGCTGTAGTATATTTGTCCCTGTGT